AATAGTATTGTAAGATGTTGTTGTAATACCAAAAATCTTTTTGACAGCCTGAAATTTTATTTTCATGTTTACTTATAAAATTTAAAGGTTCAAGAATTGTGCAAATCAGCAGTTCTATAAATATTTAAAAATTTAGAAAATTGAAGGTCTAGATAATATAGGACATGATGTATTATTTTCAAGACTTGAAATCTATTTTTTTTATTTTTATGTGCCTAAGGGTCGAGATGATCAGATTTAAGGGCTTTTCAGCATCGAAACTACTATTTTTAGCAAATTTTTAAGGTGGGCTTTTAGTTCGATTGTTTCGGGCCTCAACCTTATGTAAACTATCTTTTATTAAATGTCAAAAATGATGTCATGCACAAAAACATCAAGATTAGAGAAATGTCTATGCACTTTAAATTGAAGCTGAAAGTTTCGCATGTATGGACCATTTACTTTATAAGGTAATAATCACTCTTATCCGTCATATTTTAAATCGAGTGGTTTTGACTTAAAGTTTCGCATGTATGGACCATTTACTTTATAAGGTCATAATCATTCTTATCTGTCATATTTTAAATTGAGTGGTTGACTGTGTTATTGAGTAAACTGAAAATTCAAAAAAAAAAAATTAAAATTTTGTGACAAATTTCAAGCCATCCAATTTGACAACTACTAATTAGGGGCAATTATGATCTTATTGCAACAAAAATAAATGGTCTTTTAGCATACAATCCCACCACATGTTCATCCCTTTGATCTTTGCCGGAGGTGTGTCATCCACCAAAATCATCTCTCCTCCACTCGACCTGATCACAAAGGCTGAAAGTAGTGGAATCGCTTAACTCACATCTTCTTGGTTCAATGACACCCTATAATAAGCACTGATTAACGTCCGAACTATCTATCTGAGATCCCCTCCTGGCCAGCACATTTGTTTGATTTCATCATCGTCATAGCCTTTTTTTCAACTAACTAGAATCGGTTAAAGTGCAATTTGACTTCATCAGGCATAAGTCCCCATGCCTATAGGCCCTCGATTTCCTTTTCAGCTCCCAACATAATTGAGTTTCAGCCACCTTGGTGGCGTACACGCCCAAACAGTTTGATTTCCCTTGAAGCTAAGCTATCAAGTTGAGATTATCAGTGATGTCCTCTTTCAAGAGCCTCATGAAGTCCTTCCAAGATCCTATAAGAAAGTAGAACTCAGTAAAACTTCTACGCTTACTCAACTCTGAAGTTCTGTTTTGATAATAAAATACGGAAATTTTTCGAATTGACTTTTCCTTGATTATAATTTGAGGAAATGACACTTGCTATCTAGGGGTGTTTGATTAATTTGTCCAACCTACGATTTGAGATTTTGTAAGTTGTTTGATTGTCTTTTTCCGAATACACTAATATCTATCTGGAATAATTTTTATCATCTTGATCAATAGTGAATCACTATTGTGTAAAGAAAGTGTTAACCAATGGACCATTAGTCATCACCTTAACCAACAGTACATCACCACTGTGCAAAGAATGTACTGACCAATGGATCGTCGGTCACTATTTTGACCAACAATGAATCACTTTAACCGTCAGTGACTCTATGGACTGACAGTGACACCGTGAGCAAATTTAGGTATCGCTAATTTTGACAATGAACACTAGACAATAATCAATTCAATATTCATGTATCTCACAAGAACATCCAAAGTGTGTGTGTTTTGGGAGAGGAAAACTTGTGTTACATTGGTACACAAATGAAGCCATCAATGGAGAACTAGAATCTAGGAAATTGATCTCGAGATACTGATTACTTTTACAGGAGGAGCTGTTGTATGACAGTCTAAGCTATAGAAAGCTGAGAAATTATTGCAACTAGGGAAAATCCATATTGACAAACGCGTGTCCGATATGATGACGAAGACTTTGGCCAACTAATAGCAAAGCAAGAGTCATAAAGAAGAATGACTGATATGAGTGCCATTTGAGTACCTAGTTGATCTGTGAAGGGAGACTTCCCTCCAGGGATTGGAGGGGGAGATTCTTGGGCATCCCATCCCATGAAAGAAGGACCCATAACCAAATTGGGCAGCTTGGGAACATAGAAAAAGGGTGATTTGTTCCCTCTAAAAGAAAATGGTGACAAAGCTAGCTCATTTTGCCGCATTTTGAAAGTGTGCGCTTTTGTCCGATTTCTCTTGAGCACTTGCCATTGTGGAGTTGACAAAGCTAGCTCATCCGTGTGGGCATAGGAGAGACCATGAGCGAGTATATTATCTATTTACCCTCTCAGATAAAACCTAGAAGTAATTGTAGGACCCCAAACGTTGGACTGTAATTTATGTGGACTAAACATCAATAAAAAAAAAATCTAAATCCCGTTCTCTAGGCATTTTTTTTTTTTTGAAAATAATCATCCAATTTTGTAGATGGTGTGAGAAATTTCATATTGAAAAAAAAATCCACTAAGTAGGTCTTTTGATCGAGAGAGTATCATATACAGTGTACTCCCACAAGGGCATATTATACATGCTTAGTAAATAAAGGAATAAACAGGTATGTTGTTATGAAATATCACTAATTTATCCTTGATAATGGGTGTCGCTGTATAAATATTACACTTTTTGCTTCACTCGAAACGGTTACGGAAGTTGAGACGTGTAAATTCTTATATAGGCTCTAAAATAAGGAAAATTGTTTCATGCGGCTGGACCGCATTTCTATATATGGGGCCTAGTAAGTGTAAAGCATCCATCTTAAAGATGGATGCATGTAGGTGTTTCTCTAAAAACAATGGAAACTAACGATTTAAATGTTTTCTTACTAAAATTATTATTTCTAATTTTTAAAATTTATTTATTTTTTTCATATTCATATTCATGATCTCCATGTTAGAGATTACATGTCCTTAAAAATTAAATCTTAAAATCCATCTCAAAAACAGAGTTATCAACAAAACCGCATTTCTACATAGCGGGTCCATAAAATTAAGAAGCTTAGTTTGCAAGGGTTGTCAATGTAGGTCGAATAGCTACTTGGAAATCTTGTTTTGAATTCATGGGTCGTTTTCCTATGTGTTTTCCTTAAACTTGACTTGTTCTTTTAATTGGCCAATGGATTTCTAAAAATTAATGGAAGCAAATGAGAGATTACGAATGAATAGAAAGGGATTGGATCATTTAAAAAATTGACAGATATAGTCTCTTTTGCCGACACGGCACTCTATTTTTCTTCCAAGATTAAGTTGTAATTATTAAATATAAGTTAGCAAAGAGTGTAGACGATAAAAATCAAGGTTTGAAAAATATGAAAGGAAATAAAAAAAAGTGCGGAAAATAAAAGAAGCGAGACAAAGATTTATGTGTTTCGGTAAATTGCCTACATCTATGAAGGCAATAAAATTCTCCTCCACCAATCAGAAAACATCATGCAAGCACGAAGAATACAAGGAATTACAAGTTTTCTCTTAAAGTTTAAATTAAACTTTTTTTCTTCCTTTATAACACCACCAACGGCTAAAGGAACTAACCCTCTCTTGGTACTTTTTCTTGCATATTATTTTTCTCTCTCTACAAAATATTTTTTTATAAAGAAGAAACCCAAAGAAAAACCCAAGTGAGGTATATATATGAATCCGATTAGTAAATAATTACTAAAATCCAAATAGTATCAAACAATCATGATTGTCAGATGGACTTAAGACGGTGATGAGTCATAAGTAAAATACTGTAGAAGCTCATTCATAAGTATTTTTAAGTGTTTTCCATATATATATGTGTGTGTAGCTTATATAAATGGTGAACCTTAAACAATTAAAGTAGGGCTCACCTCTAAACCATGCAAAAAGATGGACTTTTAACATCGTGAGCCTTTGCAATGGTCTGAAATTCCATTTTTACCTCTAATTATGAAATTAATGCTCAAAATGATGCAGATTAAGTAGATCAAATCTTGAAAATGAATGGTCTAAATAATGCGTTACAAGATGCATTGTTCCAAGACTTGAAATCTTTTTTTATATATATAGACATACAAGTTGAGGTCAAGATGATCAAACAAATAGTTTTCCAATATCATAATAACATTTTCTAATAGATTTTGAGGTGTGTCTTACTTTAATAA